GCCCTTATATGGGGGCTACCATATTTATATTTATAATTTTATATTTTATTTAATTATAATTTATAATTTTTAGTAGAGATATTTGGTACGCAATATGAACCCAATGTACAAAATTGCAGCGAATTCGGTTGAAAAGCCCGCTCAAGAACCCCAAAATACCGAAATTGGGGGGTACCCTTATATGGGGGATATCCGAAAAAATTGACCTATATTTAAATTTTTTTGTGGAGAGATTTGGTACCTGCTAAGAACTCAAAATACTAAATTACAGCCAATTCGGTGAAAATACGATAAAAACCCAAAAAATACTGAAAATTAGGAGGTACCGTTATATGGGGGCTACAAGAAAAAGTGGACCTATATTTATAATTTTTTGTGGATACATTTACTACAAATTCGCTTGAAAAACGCGCTCAAGAACCCCAAAATACCGAAAATTGGGGGGTACCCTTATATGGGAGCTATGCCTAAACGTGGACCGATATATCCCATCTTCGAACTTGACCTGCCTGCAGACAAAAGACAACCCTATGCAAAATTTCAGCACCCTATCTCAATTCCTTCAGAAGATAGCGTGATTACAACAGACGGACGGACATGGCTAGATCGTCTTCGAATTTTACCCTGATCAAGAATATATATACTTTATAGGGTCGGAAATGAATATTTCGATGAGTTACAAACGGAATGACAAAATTAATATACCCTCCATACTATGGTGGAGGGTATAAAAAGTACTGGAACAGACCATTTGTTGGCGAAGGTTTGCGTACGACGTCGCTTGAGTCTTGGCAAAACGATGATTAACAAGCGAATTTTATGAAGGCTGGAGTCTTGGAGGCTTCCCACTGTTCTTTTGAATCTCTCTCTCTCTCTTTTATTATTTTTTTTTTCGTTTTTCCATATATAGTTCCTTGGCTCCATATATTTCCTTTGATCCATATAGTACCTTTGCTCCATATAATTCCTTTAGTCCATACAATTTCTTTGCTCGATATAGTTCCGACTCCTACATAGTTCTTTTGAATCTCTCTCTTTCATCATTCTTTTTTTCGTTTTTCCATATATAGTTCCTTTGCTCCATATAGTTCCTTTGCTCTTTATAGTTCCTATGCTCCAAATAGTTCCTTTGCTCCATACAGTTCCTTTGCTTCAAATAGTTCAAAAAAGGAACTGGATCAGAGAAAGGAATTATATTAATTAAAGAACTGGAACTAGTTCCGTTCGTTCCTTTCTCGGAATAGTTCCAATGAACTAGTTCGTTCCGGAACTACCCAACTCTACAATTCAGACAAATCAGAGTTAAAAATAAATAAATAATAGAAACGGAAAATAAGGGATTGGTCCTATATAATTTCGATGATTAAGTGTAGAGAGTAGTTTTGGTTTTATAAAAAATAATAAAATCCATCAAATATTATATAAAAGAATTATACGAGTGCGGAAGTAGATTTTAACTTCAAAGTAAATGAAGAAGTCTTATAAGCTGCTTTCTTCGTAAAGATGGTGGTGGTATGGTGGTAGTGAGAGAGTGTGTGTTTCGTCGATGGGTGATGGTGATGATGATGTTTGTGGTGAGCAAGTTAGTGTCCAAAAATCACTAAGAAACAGTAACAACAGCAGTAGCAGCACCAGCAAAAAAGCAACCGAAGAAATACAAGCCACCTAAAGTTGGGTAAGTGAATGGTCGTTGTCGTCAGACTATAGGTCGGTATGTCTGTTTGTCTGTTGGTACATTTCGCCATTGTATGTGTTCTCTTTTTCTAGTATTATTTGGAATATTCGTGGTATTGGTTGGTGGTGCTGATGTTTGGTTGGTAGCTCGTTGGTTGGTACTTGTTCAGTAATTATTTAATTAAAACAAAGAATTAACATAGAGTTTTGACTTTCCGTTCGTTCGCAAAGCAAACAACTTGCGGAAGTGTAGGGGCAGTTCGAGTCGCGATAACAACAAACGACATCATTGCTGGTGGTAACTAACAACAAGAATAACTTTGCAAAATTTTGTTTATTTTTTTGATCGAACAACCAGACCCCCACCACCCCTATCTACCTCGAATTAAGGGAAATCGTTTATAAACAATAAATATTTTTATAACAACAATTGATATGAGACGAATATTTATGACCATAATAACAAATCACATGCAGTACCTAAGGCGGGGTGCTAATACTCACCCACCAGCCCCCAAACAATTGAAAAAAAAGAAACAAATCAAATGCATAACATTATGGGATTATTGACCTGAATTCATAACAAAAAAATTGTGGGTATATTATTGATAAGCAAACACGAGACTTCGTTCAATGGACGTCACGAGTAGGCAGCCAGCATCGTTTAAAATTGGGTCAGCGTTTTTTTGTAATCAAATGTTGTGTGCACAACATACATACATACAGAGGGAATTCCCAACCTTGCCCTTCACATGTCCATCCCATAGCTGCCAACAGCAAAAGATAAGAACGAACTTTCAGCGCACGCTAATATTATAATGTGAGAGGAGTATATTGCAAAATGGAAATTAAATAATAATGAAGAATTGGTGATAAGCGAAATCAGTGTATGAATTAATACATACATATATTAATTTAGTTGATATTTGTGAAGTAATACGCTAATTTTTACTTCCGAAATATTGCGAGAAGTGGTAGAACTCGAGTCTGTTCAAAAAAAAAAAAAAAAAAAATGAAAAAGCGTTAAGGGCCGAACTTTGGATACCCTCCGCCATAGGTGCACTGACAGATACTTAAAATGAAAATATAGGGAACATACCAAAAAGTGAACCTATAGGCAATAATTTTATAAACCGGTTTATGTAAACCATTATGTACACCAAATACAAATGTCAGCAGTTTTTAATGAAAATTTCAAAGCGTGCACTTATACTAATAACAAATTTTAGAGTATACAATCCGCAAACTACTGCAACTTAGAGTACATAGTTTAATTACATAGTGTAGGAATTAACGAATATTTGGGGTTATAATTATATGAGGTCTATGCCTTTAATTAATGACCGACATATGTAAATTTCGAACCCAATATGTTTGTTTTGTGTCTCAGGAGGTATAACATTATATGAGGGAGATACCTAAATACTGGCCAATATATTTCATTATCGTCGGGTTCGAGTTTTTTTTTATCACTCCTTAGAAAGCGGAATGATTACAACCGATGGCTAACTCGTCTAGAATTCCTTAATTTGTACGGGTAAAACTGACTATTTCGAGTAACGACTCCCCTATACTGTGTTAGAATACGCCAGGGGACAACCCCTACACACGGAACTAATCAGCTAAATATTTTAATATAAGAAGGGGGTTATATGGGAACTACCCCTAAAAATATTTATAATTTTTGGTAGGAATATTTGTTACCATTTGCGACTACAAAATACAGCGAAATCGGTTGAAAAGCGCGCTCAAGAACCCAAAAATATCGAAAATTTGAGGCTACCCGAAAAATTGACCTATATTTATAATATTTAGTGAAAAAATTTGGTATCCAATAAGAACCCATTGTACCAAATTTCAGCGAATTCGGTTGAAAATCGGGCTCAAGAACCCCAAAATATCGAAAATTGGGTGGTACCCTTATATGGGGGTTACCAAAAAAAGTGGACCGATATTTATAATTTGTAGTGGAGAAATTTGCTACCCAATAAGAACCCATTGTATCAAATTTTAGCGAATTCTGTTGAAAAACACGCCCGAAAATAACGAAAATTGGGCGGTGCCTTATATGGGGGCTTTATAATTTTTGGTGAAGAAATTTTGTATCGGTTTAAAAACACGCTTAAAACCTCCAAAATACCGAAAATCGAGGGTGTCTTATCTGGAGGCTACCCAAAAAAATGGGCCTATATAATTTTTAGTGAAGAAATTTCAGTGAATTCGGTTGAAAAGCGGAATGACAAAATTAATATACCCTTCATACTATGTTGGAGTACTTGCGCAAGCAGATGGGGCAGCTCTTGGAGTATTTGGGAGAAAAATTCTCCAAAAAATCTATGGGCTGATCTGCGTCGAATAAACCATGAGTTGTACCATCATTTCTCGGATATCAACATATCGTATCGAGCTGCTGCGACTACGTTGGAATGCGAGCCAACTGATGGTTCAACCAGTAGGGGAAGGCCACAAATTCGATGGATAGATCAAGTGGAGGATGACATATCAAAAAATGGTCTTTCAAATTGAAAAAAAAAACTGTGCACAAGATCGACGCGCCTGGAAATCTTTTTTATGTTCGGCTTATGGAACAAACGTTCTGCCTCGAGCCAGCTAAGTAAGTACAAGGTTGGCTCCAGTTGGAATCCTCAACAAGTTGAGGGCAATATAATCCCAGTACATATTTCTCAAACTCATAATCAATCGCCTTGAAAACGAGAGTCTAAATTGATTTAGCAAAAAATAAACCCTGAAGCCCCCTCCACCAAATCGAATACGACTTCACTGAAACTGTATTAATATTGTCAGAATACAATACGTAGTCTAACTGATTTGGACGCTTTCATACCTTTGATTCCATCGTTAAATCATTCATATCCTTCGTGATATTTCTGGGCGGTCAAGTTCAAGATCTGTTTATATAAAATTGTCATGTGAGAACCCAAGTGTCTGGGGTAGGTGGTGATCGACGCAAGGATACAACACGATAAGATCCGACAAGGAATAAATTGCATCAAAGGGCCGTCTATATAACCCTATTGCCACTTAGATGTTAAATAATTTAAAGATAAGAGGCAACGTTTTTTTATGAAATTCGATTTTTTCGGCTATTGTTCCAAACAATTTTTTTTTTAGAATTCATTGTTTCTTAGATATGGACTATATATTAAACTTTTATTAACAAGTTTTTTAAATATTTCTTTTTAGGAGCACAATATTGAAACTCATTGCCGAAAATTCAAACACATGATTTGAGCCGGAGACAAGAAACACTCAACATTTTTTACACAATTTTGTTGGATCCACAAAAGACCAAAAGATACAACTCGCACAAATAAAGATGGCTGGTGGAGCTGCCTCTGTGTTGCGGCACAATACACAAGAAGGACGTTCCAATACAACGGCCGAAAATTCACCATCAACAAAATACTCACGTGCAGCAGCACCTAATTTTATGTTGACCTCACATTCGGAGGCATTGTTGCAAGGTCTAAATGCCTTAAGATGTTCGGATAAGTTGTTCGATGTCACCCTCATTGTGGAGGGGAGAACATTTAAGGTAACCTAAAATACAAAAATATTTCTTTTTCTTAAATTGATAGTAATCTTATAATTTTCACCACAGGCCCATCGTGTTGTTTTGGCAGCCTGTAGTGATTACTTTTGCGCCATGTTTACCGATGCCATGCGTGAAGCTCGTCAATCTGAGATCAAATTAAACGGTGTCAATGCCCGTGGCATTGAACTACTCATAGAATATGCCTATACATCTAAATTAGAATTGGATCGTAATAACGTTCAAGATGTACTCTCCGTGTCGACACATGTCCAAATGAAAGCCGTCATTGAGGCATGTTCCAATTATTTAGAATCACAAATTGATTTGGAAAATTGTGTAGCGATTGCAGCACTAGCCGATCTATATGCCTTGGATGCATTGAAACGTAAAACATATCGTTTTATTTGTTCTCGTCTAGATGAATTTGCCCAAACACCCGATTTAGTAAATCTAACATGGGATCAGTTGGATTATATATTATCATGTAACTATCCAGTGGATTGTCGGGAGGAGCGGGTATTGCAAATTGCATTACAATATTGTCTTGAGACAAGATTAAAAATGGATTTAGCTAGAATGTTGTTTGCCAAAGTTCGCTTTAATCAAATCAAAGCTGAGGATGTCAACAGTTTACTTTCAAACACGGAAGCAGCTGAAGAAGATTCCCAACAATATGTGGATGCAGTGCGGCAAGAAATGCAAAAACAACAACAACAAAGAAAACATAGCACAAAAGATTGTTGTGATGAAGTTATCTCGTCAAATATTCTAATCAATTCGCGTGGCATGGAGCTGGCATTGGTGAAGATTGGCGGCTTCGAAACAAATGGTTTGACAAATCAGATTAGCTGTTTCTTGCCATCTGTGGGTAAATGGGAAAGTTTAACTGTGATTCCACATATAGAACAATGTAAGTAAAATGAAACTAAGAACATGTTTGTATAAATCTTATGTACAACTATTTTTTATTGCATTTCAGGCAATTACGGCACTGCTGTCTTGGGCAATGATTTATATATTGTGGGTGGTTCGTACGATGTTTGCCTTAAGGAATATATCCATCCATTTGGTTTTCGTTATTGCCCAACAAAAGATAAATGGAAAACAATTGCACCCATACAAGCGGATCGTTGTCGTTTCTCCCTGAATGCCATGGGTAATAATTTTCTGTATGCCGTGGGTGGTGTCTGTGAACTGAATGATAATGATGGTGATCATTATGCCAATGATATGGCCCAGTCAAATTGTGAACGTTATAATGCCAGTGCTGATCGTTGGGAATATTTGCCACCCTTAGCCGAAAATCGTAGTCAACATGCTGGTGTGGTATTAGGCGATAAATTGTATATATCAGGTAAGGTTTGAAGTTGTAAAACCATAATTTATAAGGGGTACATACTTTATTTTAATAATTTTATTTTAGAACCGAAATAAATAGGAAAAGTGGGGCAAAGTGGTTAAAAGTAGTAAAAAATGTCAGAAAGTTTTGCCAACACAGAAGAATAAAATGTCGTTTATCTATAAAAGATCAAGAGATTTCTATACGAGCAATATAATGCCGTTTGTACAATGTTTGGATTTATTATTGGATCGATCATTTTCCCCTCTATAAAATTATAGAATATCGCTCAATAGAATATTAAACTGGAATTTATAGTTATAGGCAACCCGTAGGCATTTTTTCCGCTTAAACCCATGAGAAGTTCTGCACTATAGAATCCCAGGAAATCTTCTTTATTAATAACGAAATAATATTCTCTCAAGAAATAGCTGGTAGAACTGATACGGTGTTGCGGCCAATACACAAGAAGGACATTCCAAGACAACGGTCAAAAATGTATCTTCATTAAAATATTCTCGAGTAGAACACCGAAATTATATGTTTAAATTAATACGTTCTAAATTCATAATAGAAGATCAGAAGGTCTCCTTCATAGAAGACCAGATGGTCTTCTTCGTTGAAATCAGAAGGTCTTCTTAATATACCACCCGAAGGACTTCTTAATAGACGACCAGAACAACAGAAGTTAATTTTCATAGATTACCAGTAGGTCTTCTTCATGAAAGGTCCTAATAGAATACCAGAAATTCTTTCAATGGTCTTCTTTCCTCATAAAAGAAAAATAGGGACTTCTTTATAGAAGATGAGGAGGTCTTCTTTATTAAATACGAAATTCTCTATAGAATATTTCACAAAATGCCAGTGTCAGTATGTCTTTTCTCCAAAGAAAATTAGGAGGTTCTGTCTTTCAGATACCAGTAGGTCTTCTCTCTTGGAAGACCAAGAGGATCTCTGCTTCCTCGTTTTTTTAGAAGACCTGTCTTTGTTTCTCTGTTTACAAGGCCAGGAGGTCTTCTCTCTTAAGAATGTCTGAAGGTATTTCCGAAGGGCATCCCCCTATGTGGTCTTCTTTCTTTAGAACAATGTTTTTCCTCTCTTTAGAAAATCAGAGATTTACTCTCCTTAGAAGGCCGCAATGTTTTCTCTGTTTAAAAGTCAGAATGTCTTCTCTCTTTTGAAGACTGGGAGTGACCAGACAGTCTATTTTATAATATACGGTCAGCTTTGTGACATTTTAAAATATTTGGATTTCAGATGCATTATGTACCCCGGTATTATCCCTGTTTTTCCTAACCAATTTAATTTTATTTCCAGGTGGAATTGATCGCCATTTGGTCTTAGCTTCGTTATGGTGTTTCGATACGACGACTGAAAAATGGATAAAATTGTGCCAAATGCCTACACCCCGAGCTGATCACATACTCATTGCTATGGAAGGGCGAATATATGCTTGCGGTGGTTGGTATGAAGATAATGTAACAGAGACACGCGTGCTCGCCGAAACCATTGATGTGTATGATATTGCCACGGATACATGGTCCACCGAGTCAACAAATCCAATGCCAAAATATTATACCGGTGTCGCGGCAGTTAAGAAACGCATTTATTTCATAGGTGGTCTGCTGTCATCGGCTACAATTAACAGGGCCACTTCGGCGGTACAATGTTATGATTTGGAGACCAAACAATGGTCCTACAACGTCGAATGGGAATATCCCAAGGAGGTGTGGGAGTGTACATGTGCCGCCTTCTATGTACCCCAAGAACGTGATGAATTCTATTGGGGTGAAAGTGCGTAAAAACGGTAGTGAAATTACGATGTATTAACAATAACAACAAAAATATGCAATATTTAAACTAACTAAAAATTATAAAAAATGTAGTTTAACTTTTTTATACTTTTTTCAAAGAAACAATCCGAAAACAATCATAAAAATTGTAGTTTGGAAAATTATTTAGAAAAAAATCTCCTTAAAATGATAAAAAGAAAACACACACAACCCTACAACTAATGTTATGTAAATATGTTTAATGAATCCCCCTCCTTGTTCAAGGAAAATTTATAGATTTACTTCTTGCTTTAATCTTAAGGAATATGATAGTATTTTATATTGAATCTCTTGCTTTTTTTCGTAGGAAAAAATTTGTTCTTTCGCCAAGAATTTAATTCAAAACAAAAAAATATGTATAACAAAAAAACTGCTGCTTTTATATATTACACACACACCCACAAAAATACAAATATTTTATTTTATAAGCAATTTTTCTTCTTGTTTTATAGAAATTAATTTTCTTTTATATATATTTTATACTAACAAAACTGAAAATATTGTTTTTTTTATTTGTTATATACTTATATATAGAAACTATTTTTTAAGTGGTTTTCATACAAAAAAACAAGGAAGTCTATAGTTTTTTATTTGTAATATTTAATTTTTTTAATTTTCTTCATTGTTATCAGTCTTTAAAAACAAAAACAACATAGTAAAAATAAATATTTGCTTTTCTTATATTTTTATATATTTGTGGCAGGGCCATTATCATAAACCATATAAACTTAAAAACAAATAAATTCAAATTAAAAAAATGTAATTGCCAATTGTATTTAATAAATTTGAATAGAAGTTATCAAGTTTGAATGTAATTCAAAATTCAAATGTTCCATACTTACACAAAGTTTCCAAATTACATGTTTGAATTAAAAAAAAAACAATAAATAAATTGTATTATTTGTCTAGAGTTTTTGTTTGGCAAAAAACAAATCACCACATTACAACTCAACAGTAATTTGTTTTGTATTGAAAAAAATACTTTTTTTTATTCCAAAATCTTTACATGAATTTTTAAATATGAACAAAAGTAATAATAAATAAAAAATTATGAAAATATTGAATTTAATTTTTTATGATTGATGTTTTTATTTATATATAGATATGAAGTTATTTTTAAGGTATTATTGTCTTTGATAGAACTTGAAAAAAGGGTAAAAATGCGGGAATTCGTTAATACTACTAGCATGTTTGATATGTAACCAGTAAGGAAAGTTCAAAAGTCGGACGGGGCGACTATATGATACCCTTCACCACTTTGGGTACCACTCAGAAATTTATGAAAAAGTTAATGTCAATCATCGAGCAAAATATGTAAAATACACAATACTCTGTGCAAAAATTTTGTTTCAATCGGACAAACATCGATAGTAAGGTGCACCATTTACATAAAATCGGAGCCGATTTAAACAAAATTCCGTATACATCAATCTAGGCCTAATTAAATACTCTGTGCAAAATATTGTATCAATCGGACAAATATATGGGAGCTATATCTAAATCTGAACCGATTTCAACAAAACGGGGCATGTATCAATCTAGACCTAATTCAGTACTCTGTGCAAAATTTAGTCTCAATCGGACAAATATTGGGAATTTGGTGCACCATTTACCTAAAATCGGACGAAACTATATATAGGAGCTATATCTAAATCTGATTTTCAATAGGGATCGTCCTTGGGCCAAATAAGTGACATGTGCCAAATTTCATCCAAATCGGATCATAAATGCGACCTGTACTTTGATCACAAAAATACATGGACAGACAGACGGACGGACATGCGTAAATTGACTCAGAAAGTGATTCTATGTATATTCTCAAAAAGAACCATGGGTCTATCTCGATTCCTTTTGTCTGTTACAAACATATGCACAAAGACATAATACCCTGTACTACAGTGTGGTGAAGGGTATAAAAACGGAATATATCGGACCACGTTAGTAGTAGCACTCCATGCCATCTGTGTAGTGATACCAGAAGAGGTTGCCCTATATACCTCATATTCGCATTTAAAGTAGATTTGGTAAACAATTACGATGGTGCAAACAATGAATAAAATCAGTCATTCAATTCGCTTCCAGTTATTTGACAATACTATTGACCCTTTGTGGAGGAGGTAACAGAAAGAGGAGGGGCAGTGGGGTTCCACCTTCGATCTTGATCTATGTAATTTAAACATATTACGTTTTGTAAAGTTTCGATGAAAATGCTTATATTCCGTTCGCCTCATATGCCATGATACATGTTTTCAAAATATTGGCCCTTTTTGGGGGAAGTACTAGAAGGAGTGGACCGGCCGAAGTCCCATCTTAAAACATTATATAGACATTGTTAAAATGTTAGGTTGTGCAATGTTTAGTTCAAATCGGATAGTCCCTTTACGTGATATTATAAAATTAAATTTCAGCAGAAGGAGTGGACAGATATTCTCCATCTTTAAACTTGATTTAGGTTTGGAACAAATATAACCATGTGCAAAATTTCGATGAAATTAGTTACTGCCTTCGGGAGTTATTGTGCGCTCCAGACAGTCTGACAGGCATTTGTAAATCGCCTTAAAATTGCCTAGAACGAATTTGTTCCAGCAATATTTCGATGAGGCATCTTTTTGCTGTAACACAGTCTATATTCCGTCATTAGCCATAAGATTGGATCATTCTATACTCAATTTTTTGAACTTGCACGTAATGCTAATTTTCTCTTATATAACATAAGTTTTAATATGGAATGATAATATGGAATAAAACTTTAGAATTCCCTCGAACCGTGGGTGCAAAATTTATGAAAATCGGTTAAGTAGTTGCTGAGTTATTTGCATTTGAAGTCGATGATGTTCCGAAATGTACCAACTGTTCGGTGCTGTTCGCCTATTACCAGAAAATGAAAAACTACACAAAAGTGCATCTTTAGAAAATGGCAATTTTATGCTGCTGCTGGTTTATAAAGAAAATCATAGCATACTTTTAGGCAAACACAGACTTTGTGTTCTGAGCATCATAATAAACGTATTGAGTTGTAAAACATTTTCAAAAGATGGCGCCAACGACGGGCGAGTTACGTATATGAAAAATGAAGACCTCATTTCATTTTGTCATAACTTTTTCCGTATTGCTGGTATTCAAATGAAAGTGACGTCATTGGAGAGGTATAACGTATACTTTCTTGTGAAATAAATACAATTTCAATTATAATTGAATTTTACTATGAAATTTGATTTTCAAGGTCATCATTTAACTTGATTTGATTTTGAAAGAAATACTACGATGTGTAAAGTTTGAATGAAATCATCAGTTACTCCTTCGAGAGATATCGTGTGCACCTGCCAGGCAGACAGACGGGCATTTGTAAATCGACTTGGTCAAAAAAAAAATACATGGGGTCCCCAAATCCCAATAATAAAACAATATTTTTTATAATGGTTTTGTTTTTTGTTTATTGAATAATTTCTATGGACATATAAATCTCATTTATTTCAGAAGAGCTATTTGTTTTTTTATTACAAAGTATTTTTAATTTATTTTTAGTTTTTTTTTGTAATTGAAAGCTTTTAACTATAAAATTTGCTTTAAACACAAGGAAAATTAAAGAAAGGTAGGCAGGAAGGATAATTTGCTTAAGGATTTGTACGTTACATTTCGTTTGCTATTAGGAAAAAATTATTTAAAAACAAAAAAAAAAAAATATTAAATTATTTAGAAAAAGAAAACTTAAATAAAAAATTATATAAAAAAACGAAACACATTTTGGTATTAGTTACTTAATGAAATAAAAAAAATCTTAAAAACAAAATATTTCAATTCGTTGAAAAAAATATGTTAACTAAAAAAAAGAATTTAATTAAAAATATATTTAAAAAATGACACATTATCGGTTTTAATAAATTAACTGGTCGTTTTGTTTTCGTTTCATTTTTTTGCAATTTTCAATTTTTGCTAGAGCATGTTTTTGTTTGTTATTTTGCTTATATTTTTCATTTTGTATTTCATTTCCGGTTTTTTTCGTTTTGTTTATTTTTATATGCTTTGTTTAACTTTGTTGTTGTTGTTTTTTGTTTTGTTTCAAAAGGAAAGTTTGTAATATCACATATAATTTTTTTTATTAAACAAAAATTATCATAAAACTAAATATATATATATATATATATATATAACATAAACAAATTGCTAAATTAATAAACTTAAATTTAATTAAGAGTAATTAAAAAAGAAACATTAACTTGTATTCGATTTTAGGTCTTAAGGTTAAGGGGGTTTTGATTTGTTTCTGGTTCTTTTGCTTCTCTATTGTAAAAATTATTATAGGTTATAAAACATGGACTAGCTTCGTTTTGGTAGTTTCTTGTTGTTCATCGTCTTCTTCTCCTTATTCTTCGTGTATATATATTAAGGATTAAACATCTTGATTTTTTTTTAATTTATTAAATAACAGAGTCTCTGGTATTGAGATTGAATAACATTTTTTTGTAAATTATTTTTATTCAATCCAAAGGTCTAGCCTTCAGCCTTCGATTGGCTCCGATTAGTTCTTCTTTAAAGTGACTCTCATTAGCTCTTTTCTAAATATTTCGTCTAAGGGAAGAGACTCTCTTTATTTGGTATATGATTGGAGCCTATGAGTTTGGAACCAAAGACTCTGTTTTTCCTTTAAAATTTCAAAATGTTTAACCTTCGTACTTATGTATATATATAAGCTATAAGTATGTATATATTTTTAAATTAAAGTCGGTTTTCTATATATTTTTTTTAACAAATAATAACAAAATATTCTATAATTTGATTCGGTTTCTGTGCGCCAAGCTATGTATTATTATTACTAAATCTATATATTATGTTAGGTTTACAACTACGGATTGTTATGGTTCGGGTTTTTTTTTTTTTTTTTTTTGGGAAAGGCAGGCTTAATTTCCTAGCCCAAAATGTAATATTCAGATATAGATAGGATCGGATTGCAAAGCTTCTGGTATCAAATAATAGCGGTGAAGAAGATACCCCAGAACCAATAAGATATGACGGTATAGATTGTATACCTCCTAGCCAAGATGAGGTCAGAGTAATAATTAAACGGCTGAAGAACAATGAAGTAGCAGCAGGTGCCGGTGGATTACTAGCCGAAATATTTAAGTCCTTCCTATCGCATATAAAGTGCTATCCAGTGTGCCGTGTGAACGACTGAAGCCAATTGTCAATAACATTATTGGATCATACCAATGCGGCTTCAGGACAAATCCAACATTGAACAGATTTTCACTCTGCGCCAGATCCTGGAAAAGACCCCCGAAAAAAACACAATGACACATTCCACCTATTCGTCGACTATAAAGCCGCATTCGACAGCCCTATCCGTTCAAAGGTGTTTAAAGCCATATCTGCGTTCCGCATTCCTGCAAAATTTATACGGCTATGCTGGATAACTTTAACTGGCACAAGGTCCGCAGTTAAAGTTGGAAAGGACCTCTCGGAACCCTTCAATACCGAACGAGGATTCAGACAAGGTGACAGTTTATATTGTGACCTGTTTAACATCCTGCTGAAAAAGGTCATACGAGAGGCAAAGGTGAACAAACAGTGCACTCTGTACTCCAAACAACACATATTACTCACATACGCCGATCACATCGACATAATGGGTCGAACATTGCAAGCGGTAACATCACCCTTTGAACGAATTGAGAAGGAATCTGCCAAAGTAGGACTGGCAGTAAATGGCGGGAAGACCAAGTTGATACTATCAACACGCAAGACGTCCAGTAGACTCTGACCAACTGTGGAACTTGAAAACTACAGCTTCGATTTTATATACCTCGGTACCGTCATAAATAAAACTAATTACGTCAGTTTTGAAATTCGGAGAAGAATAGTGTTGGCCAACAGATGCTACTATTGTCTAAGTAAGCAGTTTAAAAACAAGGCTACCTCCCGCCAGATCAAACTCACATTCTACAAGACGCTGATACCACCCGTGCTGGTGTATGGATTAGAAGATCTATGGGCGGATCTACGTAGACGGTGATTATCGCCGTCGAATGAACCATGAGCTATAGCATCTAATCTCGGTCATCGACATAGTCAGAACTGCAGAGACTACGTAGGCAAGGCCATATTGTGAGAATGGAAGCGGATGTTCCAGCTCAAAAGGTCACGAATCCAATGGTCAGAATCCGATGGAAAGATCAAGTAGAGGACAGCATCTCGGAAATTGGTCTTTCAAATTGGATGAGATGCGCACAAGAGCGACGCGCTTGAAGATCTTTTTTAAGCTCGGCTTATGGAAAAATCGTTCTATCATAAGCCAGGCAAGTAAGTACCACAGAACCCAAATTGCCGGTCGGAACTTTATTTTATCTGTAGGCAACAGTTTATACAAAAAATCTAATTTCTAGTCGATTTTGTATTAGTCGGTAAAAGTCGAAAATGGATTTTGAACAGGTTTGACAAAATTGAAAGATCAAAAAGTCGATTTTTCACTCAATGGCAAAAGTCGAAAAATCTAGTTTTTGGCCTGAGACAAAAATCGAAAAGTCGATTTTTACGCTCGACTATGCATCCCTACGCTCGATCACATCCTGTTTCCCTTTTATGTTGGTGATGAGCCTGCTTCTGGGGTTTAAAGGTAAGGTAAAGACAATTCGAATACCGAAATAGTCTACAGTCAGGGAGAAGTCTCCCATGAGAGTGGTATGCATATGACTCCTGAACTGTAATATTAACTTCAAACATCGAACGAAATTGTCGAGGCGACACAATTTATGAAAGAAGCTACATGGAATATTCAAATCCCAAATTATCTTTTTTTCGAACCATAACAAAAAGAGAGAGAGGGCCAAGAGCTAAAGCAACAAAGCTTTTGTTCTAATTTCGGGGTGGGGGGTAAAAAGGAGAAGGACAACAACTAAATTTAAATTAATTACTTCAAATGCAATTATGAATTTGTTTACACATACATATACACACAGACAGACACACACACATACATAAACAAATCACTATTACTTAAATGCCTTTTTTCGTCTTCTTTTCGGTTTGTTTTTTTTTTTAATTTTCGTTAATTCCATATGATGATTTTAAGCGCTGTTGCTGTCTCTTTGACTTGGTTGTTTTGGTAAAAAGCACAGATTTTCGTAAGCGTTTCCATTTTTTAAATGTCAATATTTTTGGGATGGTCCAACAAAAACTGTAGCCTTAAGCCAGTAAAAGCTCTTCATGTAAACCCTCCGAATCTAAGGATTTATTTGATTTAAACATATAATTGCTGGTTGAGTCGCCCTGGCTGGAACCTTGAGATTTGGTGCTCAATGACATGTTGTAGATGTCATCCAAATCCTGGCTGCGTCGGAAACTGAAATAAAGGTAGGTAAACCGATGACATTAGTGGAGGTATGTGAAAAATAAATAAGATTTCTGGATGAAGTTTGAATTCAATTTGTCACACTGCTACTTACCTACTAACCGGACGACTATAACTCGAATTGGCGGGACTAGCTGGATTATTGCTATTATTATTACTCTCCATTTCGGCATCCTCCGATTCCTTTTGCGTATTGTTGCTATTATAGAGATCGCAATTATCTAAATATTCACCACGTAGATAATTATCCAAATCGTGTTCCTCCTCCTCTTCATCCTGGTAGTCTTCATTATTGTCTTCGTGTTGTTGTGACTCGACCATGCATAACCATTGGGAATTGTGGTTACGGAATTTCTCCAACTGCACGGCATGCCACGTAGGTATCCAAATTTTAAATTTGTTGATCCAATTCGAAATTCAAAAAAATGCGAATTTAAAAAAAGAGAACAGAAAAAATACAGATACAGATTTTTGTGTGTGTGTGGATTTAAACATAGGAAATTTGTTGTTCATTGTCTTGCAGTTGTGACTCCACCATACTCAACCATTGTGAGTTGTGGTTGCGAAATTTTTCCAGCTAGAGATAATTTTTTTTTTGGAAAACAGAAAAATGCAAAAAAAGAAAATTTTTTGTTGGTTTTGGTTTTCAATCACAGAGAACTTTTGGATTTTCTGACGAGATCATGGACGGAGAATGAAGTTTGCAACATGCAGTAAGAAGAAGCTGCGAACAGGACATTCAATGAAATGCAGAATTTTTTGTGAATAATTTGTAAAAAAGAATACGACGCAGGAAGATAGGCAAATAGTTGGTGCTGACAGAGAAATACATAAAATTTGCTCTAAACCTTGCTCTAAACTAAAGTAAAAAGTTTGAATTGAATTCCAGAGACTCCTTTTGGGGTCTACATCTATCGTGTTAGTAAGAATGTCATAGAGTAGGTGCTGATAAAAAATATGTGATTCTAAATCGTGGAGACAATATAACATAGAAGAAGTACAATTAAGAAAATAGGGTCACCGTTGATTATTAAAAAAGACTATCTTGTTAATAAGTAAAAAAACTAAACTTATACAATCTCCGTATTCGAGGAGCTGAACTGAATGCTAACGGACGTGTCCACAGGTTTCGGATAGTGGGCAGTCAAAAATTATTTTTCGGTATCTGTGAATATCAAACAAAGAGTCGCGGGCAATCAGCGGGTTTCGGAGGAAATGAACGAGTGCCTATGATCCCTCGACTGACGAAGCGAGAATGGCGCCTTCAAATCTCCATCTCAAAAGTATTAGGTCACTACCTTCCAAAGTGACCACCCTAATGCTGGGGTGTCGAGCGACCTTAATAAGTTTTTCAGGCTTAGTTGCCGAGTCCTTACCATGGTAAGAGCCTATGCCATTGCCCACAAATGTTGACGACCCACGCTATTTCACTGGACCACCGTTACTCTCGATGAGGTAAACGAAAGACTGGAGAGCAGCCGCCTCAAGCTTATATAGGAAAACGGCTTCTTCCGTTTTAGTCAGGGGGGCATTCCGAATCAACTCTGGGAGCACTGACAGACGATAAAGACGTCAGGAATACTACTGTGATTAGCACTACAGTGACAAATACAGTCTCCGCCTGCGAAGAGCAGAGCTGAATGATAACGGACTCGTTCACAGGCTGCGAATAGTGGAAGCCCAATATAATTCTATGAGTAGCTGTGAATATCAAATTAACAGTCGTGGACAATCAGCGGTTGAGAATCTCGGAGGAAATTATCTAGTGCCTATAATACCTGGACATCAGTGTTCTACGGTTTGAAGTCAGGGTCCAGAGTGTATTAGAACGAAGCCTCGTTGATACCTCTGCGCCTCAAAAAGTTTTTTAGGCTTTAGTTACCGACTCCATGCAAATCCTCACAAAATTGGTTTTCTATGGAGTCGAATTTTAATACCCTTTCTTCTAGAAATTTTAAAAACAATTAATGCGATTTTTCGACTGATGCTGGTGTGACTGCCTTGTCATCTCAGTATCGGACTCTACGAGGCCAGATTTCGATCAACCCCCACAAATGCTGACGACCCAGTTTTTTCACTGGACCACTTTTCCTTTTTCTTCAATCTCCGTTACTGTCGACGATGTAAACGAGGGCCTGGAGAGGCAGGATCTTCTCCTCAACCTTATCGTGGATTCCGGCTAATTCCAACTTAGTCAGGAGAGTCCCGAATCAACTTTGGCGACGATTCACCATTGACAGACAAGGAAGACGTCATGGGTTCTACTGTGATTAGCATTACAAATCAAGGTGAGTCCTCTCAGATGATGAGTATAGACCCTGGCGAGGATGAGGATCCTAATTCCATTTCCAAAACCTGTAGTGAAGTCTCGAGACTTCTGCAGCTGATGAGCTTCGTTAAGATTGATGAATCATCAGAACCGTGAACCACTAAACGAGCCAAAGCCAAAAAGTTCTCTGACAAGAAGATTTATCGGAGAGCGCTAAACTACTGTAAACGGTTTATCGGACGGGACAGAGACGTATATAACGTATAAGGAGTTCCTTGTAAGAGGAACCTCAAATTCACCCGGAAGTTCTCCAGGATGATAGAATTCCTACACCACGTGCGAAGTCCACCACGGTAGCCAATCCAAAGCAGAGTACAACTTGGACGTTGGTGGCTGGGAAAACTGGGCGCTGAGAAATCCCTGAACCTCAAATTCATCCGGAAGTTCTCCAGGAACTATCCGAATGATATTACGAGGGTCTTCTTAGTTGATAGAATTCCTACACTACGTGCGAAGTCCACCACGGTAGGCTCTCCATAAGAGGAGAAGATTGTGAGTTGCCTGAGCACAACTAGGACGTTAGTTGCTGGGACGTCTGAGCCGTTAGTACCCACAAGGGATAATTGAACGCTGAAAAATCCTTGAACCTCAAATTCATCCGGAAATTCCCCATGAACTATCCGAATGCTATTGCGAGGTACTTCTTAATTGATAGAATTCCTACACCAACTCTAGGACGTTAGTGGCTGGAACGTCTGAGCCGTCAATACCCCCCAAGGGAAAACTGAGCGCTGAGAAATCCCTGACGAAAACTGAGGATAAGGGACTGTCGAAGTCAGGCCCTCAGAAAATCCTGCCGATTGTCGAAACCGAAGCACAAGGTTATGACAATTGGGCCGTTGTTGGTTGAAAAACCAAAGGTGGCGACAATCGAAAGTAGATTTACTTATTCCTAATTCCTAATTATTTACAGTAAAGAGAGAACTAATAAAAGGATATAGCAGTGCATTTAAAATATATGTAAATTTTATTAATAGAAAAATCGGATAGATAACTGTATTGTTGGTTCGTGCGGGAGAAGAGGCCAAAGAAGACAGTAGACGGCACTGAAGGACAATGAAACATCATAAAGGGATGTTAGACCCTGACAAAGACATGTTCCTTACAATCTCAGAAGATTGATAGATTACATCAAATTCGGTCACAGTGCAAAAGACGAAGACAAATATTGGTGCTGGAATACAAGTAGACCACAAAAGACCCTTTCCTCTAAATATTTGTTTTACATCGAAGGTGAAATTTTGAAGACAAATTTAAATAAATGTTTTTCTTTTGCAGGACAAATCACAATATTAGCGGTGATATTTATTTTCGCTTGGTGGAGTTTGTGCTGAGAGATTTTTATGAAATAATTCTAACCTTCCGCAGGTCACTTACCTTAATGCGTTTAGCCCACTCGTTGTCACTGATGGCAATGATGTCTAAACAGTAATCGCATATTTTACGAATTTCCGCATTTTTATCATGCATCAAATCGATAAGATAAGCTGGTGATTCGGTTTCCTTGATCATATATTCGCGGGTACTTTCATGTCGTAGAATTTGTTGGAATACGAATATGATCTGCAATACGATTTCATCATCTTCCTGTTTGGCTTTTAGCAGTTCAATGAGCGAAAGGACAACATTGGCTCGACAGAACAGCAAAGCGCACAGCTCATCATGGGCACATGTACCCAAATAGACAATCGTGTCCAATACCAAATCATCTAACTTTGCACCGGGTACTAGAATATTTCGTATCCATGGTATTAATTGGAAATTTTGTAGAATTTGTGAATAATCCAAATCGGGTAGAGAGAGATTACCCAAGATGCCCAAACATTCGACGAGGAATACTTCATCTTCACAGATTGTGAGGACTCGAGCCAAATCGCCAACATAGTCGATGAATAGAGGTTGCAGAGATTCATGTTGTGACAAATTGCGCAGTAGCTTCATTAGTAATGCATCCTGGTATTTAAAGGCTCGATCCATGAGACTGTGTAGGCGATTACCCTCCACCATAATTTGGGCATTGCGACGATTCAAAGAGAGATTTATGCATAGGGCAATGAGGTCCAAATCCACTTTGGAGTTGAGATTTAAAATTATGGCATCTGTGGCCATTTGGACACATTCGGTGTGGGTAAACATGGCCTTGACCTGGAGGAGAACAATTTTAGGTTATTTTAATTTTTAAATTTTGAAAGGGTTGGGGAGGAGAGGGGGTACTTTACCTTATCATCCAAACTCATGTGATAGAGTATCTTCACCGCAATACTGTGATGTTTTTCATCATTGATAAACATCACCAACATGGGCAAGTATCCGGCCACAATCATTTTCCTCCTCAGCTGGCCGTCAAAGGATAAATTGAACACCAGCTTCAGGGTAACCTGTACCAAATCGGTATGACCACTTTGGAAGAGCCGCGGTAATTTTGACACAATATTTAATTCGCTCATATCATCTTTGTTATCGCCGACAATCGACAATTTCTTCAGGAATGTCGTGACCAACATCAGGAGATCAATGTTTTGTCGATCCAAAGCTTTGACCAACATTTTGACAATATTTTTACGACGCATTTTCTCTTCGAGCTTTACATTTTCGGCCATATTCAGCAGCAGATAGAACGCCACCCTCAGTAGCTGTTCTTGCTTTTTGGCAAATAATTTCAACTGCTTGTTGAGACGCTCGATTTCTTCCTTTTTTGCTTTGGGATCATTGCGATCGAGAGCCTCATTACTGGTCGCTTTCATGTCACCATTTGTGGAGATACCTGAGTCCGGAGTTTGGGCTCCCGCCGAAAGAGCCTCATGATAGCTGCTATTTAAAATTTGACTTTTTATCAATGACGATGACATAGAGCTGTGAAAACTGGACCAATTACCCGATTTGGGTCGTTGTTTCAGTTCGGGTATACGGCGTCGGGGTGGTTCCATCTGTGAAAATAAAGAGGGAGGGTGATATTAAAAGTGAATTTTATTAACGGAAAAAAGAAGGAAAGGGAAGAAGAGAAGGAGTTTTAAGTATATACTTAAGTCGATTTTAGAAGGTCCGTTTGTATTTTTATATAGGCCGCATTTATAAACCAATTGCGATGAAACTTGGCATGGGTCATTCAATCGACCTAAGGAAAAAACCTATTGAAATTTGTGAGAATCGATTCAGATTTATTTATAGCTCTGATATATAGCTTCGTCGGATTTCATGTAAATGGTGCACCAAGTATGTCCGATTGACACGAAATTTTGCAAAGGGCATTGAATTGAGGTTAGCAAGATGTGTGCCGAGTTTGCTTTAAATCGGATTAGTTATAGGTATAGCTCCCATATATATATTCATCCGATTTCTTATAAATGGTGCACCAGAGGCTCACATATTTTCTGATTGTAACGGAATTTTGCACAGAGTGACGAATTGAATCTAAAATGACGTGTGTCAACTTTGATTGAAATCGGTTTGGATTTAGCGATAGTCTCCATATACAATTTCATCCGATTTCATGTAAATGGCGCCCGAAAGACACTACGTCTGTCCGATTTACACGAAATTTGGCACAGTGTACTGAATTGAGGCTAGAATAACATGTATGAAGTTTGATTTTAATCGGTCCAGATTTATATATAGCTCCCATACATATTTTCTTCCGATTTTATGTAAATGGCGCCCGAAAGACACTATGTCGCCCTGATTTACACGAAATTTGGCACAGCGTACTGAATTGAGTCTAGAATGAAGTGTATAAAGTTTGCTTTTAATCGGTTCAGATTTCGATATATCTCAGACTTAGAAGTTCATCAAAATTTTAGGTAGCTCCCATATATATTTTCATCCGATTTCGTGCAAATCGTACACCCAAGGCCCAACGTGTATCCGATTGACACGAAATTTTGGATAGCCTACTGAATTAAGCCGAGAAAGACATGCGTTGACTTTTGTTCAAATCGGTTCAGAATTAGATATAGCTCCCATATATATATATATATATATATTTCGTGTAAATGGTAACCCAAGGGCCCACCGTGTGTCCGATTGACACGAAATTTGGTATAACCTACTAAAATAAGTCTAGAAGGACGTGTATGAAGTTTGTTTTAAACCGGTACAAATTTCGATATAGCTCCCATATATAGTTTCATTCAAATGGCGCCCAAATGCCATTACGCCAGTGCAATTAATATTTTTGCTTTGAATACCGACTACACTGGCGAATGTTGAATTTTGGACAAGTCGGCTTTGAAATACATCTAAGCCGATTTAACCCAAACTCAAGGCAGTAGTAAAGGCTGAGAAGGTTACCGTTTTGGCCCGGGATGTAGAATTTATTTGCCTTACCTCTTTTGGTTTTTCTTCATTCATGAGATCGAGAAAATCATCCGTACTATTATTCAACTTCTCTTTACTGGCTTTGGCAGACAAAGGCGCCGAACCTCCGGGATTTTTACGTATATCCAATTCGTTACGCATACTTTCGTAACGGCGCAATTCATAATCCATTACATCCATGCATAATGAACCGATCTAAATCCGGAAAAAGACAAACAAACAAAATCAAAATTAAAATTCCGTATCAGATATTTAAATTCCAAAAACCATACCTTATATTGGACAATGACAGGATGAAATTTCGTATAGGTTGAGAAGCAAAAGAATATATAAATAATATTTGTCGATAAATCTAAACTTTTGCGCCAATCTTCACGCAATACGCGTGACAATGCACTCAGACAAGCCTCTGCAAGAAATTGAAAATAAAATTTGAATTAAAATTTAAATTCTCAAATAAATTGTTGTCTGGTTTACCATTCTTCTCCAGCTCTTCCAAATTGTCTGGATTCCGGGCCACCTGCAGTATCATTGCCGATCCCCGTATACGTTCACTTAAATCCTCATAGAGCAGTTCAACATATTCGTCGATGTGATTAATGGATACATCCGATGAATCGGACGACTTTGAATGTGTTGACGAGGACATACTGGTGCTCATTGTGGTATGCGGTCGAACGGTGCTGCGATGTGATGCTATTGCCGAACGTGGTCCCCTATTGCTGTCATGGGTATCTGCGAAAAAAGATATGAGAATACATGGAAAATAAATTTTGATTGAAATTTTTGAGAGTCGGCATTGATATAGATATAGATCCCAATGGACCAAATAAAACCCAAAAAAGAAATGCGATGGAAAGGGACATGCGTAAGATTACGACGATTACGACTGTATTAAAGCTGTCATGAAACGAGACATGAATTTGGCTGCGGATTTATGGTTAACAGGAGAATAAAAGACATCATTTCAAGATTCACTCCAATAGATGATCGAATTTCTAAATTCCGTATCAAAGGGAAGTTCTTCTACATCAGTCTTATTTGTGCCCATGCTCACACGGAAGACCAATGACATAATTTACGAGCCGCTGCCCTGGCCATGACATTAAATTTCCGTTATTAGATGTTAACGTAAAAATCGGAAGGGAAAATATGTTTGGCGGAAAATTCAGCCTCCATGATGAAACATTCGACAACGGCATGAGGTTGATTGACTTCGGTTAGCAGCACCAGATTCAAGCATTCCGCACATGGTCGCATGGATTTCAATTTCAATTTGATAATTTCAATTTGATAATTTGTGATAGACGATGGCATTTATCCATTGTTATAGATGTTCGATCGATCCGAAGAGCGAATATTGATTCGGACCATTACATGGTAGTAGCCAAGGTTCGCACTTGTCTTAATGTTGCAGCAAAGGTGCGATCTAATGTAACACGGAAACTCGACGTCGAAAAGCTACAAACACAACAGATGGCAGAAACCTACTCTGCTCAACTTACCCCTTTACCTAGTCGAAAGCACACCTTGTCCCGATAATAATATAGAAGCCCAATGGCAAAGAATTCCACTCTCCCTACAAACTGCACCAAAATCAACAATTGGGTACCAAAGACCATCATAAAGAAACCCATAGGACGATCAGGAGGGTGGTAATGCTACTGAGTTGGAAAACGCAGCGACTCTCTGCAAAAAGTAGCAACACGTAATGCGAGAGAGAATTATCGGGAGAAAAGGGGCGGTGAAATGTATTTTCAAAAGAACGAAGAAAGAACAAGAAAAACGTGAGCGTGAGCAAATCGAGATGTACAGGAGTCAGAATGAAGTCCGAAAATTCTACCAACGAGTAAAACACCAAACCGAAGGCTTTGGTGCATGCACATCCTTCTGTAGTGATAAACAAGGAAACCTGGTGACAGATACAGACAGTGTATTGAGAATCTGAAAAGAGCATTTTGCGAAGCGTCTGGTATCAAATAGTGGCGGTGAAGAAGATGCCCCAGAACCAATAAGAGATGACTGTATAGATTGTATACCACCTAGTTAAGATGAGGTCAGACTAGCAATTAATCGGCTGAAGAATAATAAAGCAGCAGGAGCCGACGGCTTACCAGCCAAACTATTCAAGGCCAGTGGTTAGACGCTGATCAGGAGCATGCACCATCTGATTAGAATAATTTGGCTACAGAAATGCATGCCCAATGATTCGACCCTCAGAATCATGTATCCCATGCACCAAAAAAGGAAACAAGACGATATGTTCCAACTATAGAGGAATTAGTCTTCTTCCCATCGCATATAAAGAGCTATCCAGCGTTCTGAGTGAACGACTGAAGCCAACGGCCAATGACACTATTGGACCATACCTATGTGGCTTCAGGCCTGGCAAATCCACCATTAACCAGATTTTCCATCGACACATTCCACCTATTCGTCGACTATAAATCCGCATTCGACAATCCAATCCACTCAGAGGTATTTAAAGTCATGTCTGCATTCGGCATTCCTGCAAAATTAATACGGCTATGTAGGACAATTTTAACTGGCACAAGGTTAGCAGTTAAAATCGGAAAGGAGCTCTGGGATTTCTTCAATATCGAACAAGGATTCAGACAAGGTGACAGTTTGTCGTTTGACTTTTTAAACATCCAGCTGGAAAAGATCGTACGAGGCACCCCGTACACCAAAGAGCATATGTTACACGCCTACATCGACGACATCGATATAATGGTTCGAACAATGAGATCGAAAACAGCCACCTTTTGAACGAATTGAGATGAAGTCTGCCAATGTGGGACAGTGGCAGTAAATGGCGAGAAGACCATGCTGATGGTCCAGACGTCCAGTAGACTTGGACCAATTGTGGAACATAAAAACTAAAGACTAAAACTTCGAGGTGGAGAAAGATTTCATATACCTCGGTATCGCCATAAATAAAACTAATGACATCAGTTTTGCAATCCCGAGGAGAATAGTGTTGGCCAACCGAAGCTACCGTGGTCTAAGTAAGCTCTTTAGAAATAAGGTCATCTCTCACCAGACCAAACTCACAGTCTACAACGTGCATTTGTATGGATCTGAAGTATGGGTACTTGCGCAAACAGATTAGTCAGCTCTTGGAGTGTTTCAGAGAAAAACTCTCCGAAAGATCGATCTATGGGCCGATCAGCGTCGATGATGAATAACGGAAATCGACATAGTCAGAGGGATTGAGCTGCAGCGAATACGTTGGCTAGGTAATGTTGTCAGAATGTAAGAGGATGCCCCAGCTCAAAAGGCATGTAGAAGCGAGCCATCTAATGGTTCACGTAGAAGGGGAAGGCCACGAATTCTATGGAAAGATCATGTGGAAGACACCATCTCGGAACATGGTCTATCAAATTGGAAGAGCTGCGCACAAGACCGATATGCCTGGAAACTTTTTTTAGTTCGGTATATGGAGCAAATGTTTTGTCACAAGCCAGTAAAGTAAGTAAATCAAGTTTGAATATGGAACTCGACCGGTTGAGTAGTTCTTCTGGTATCACCCACACAAAAGGTCAATATATGTTAATTTTGTGAATGTGAATACACATCGCTATATTATTACAAAACTTAATTTAAATCAGAAGATGGGGTCCACGGGGTCTTTTCATTCAGGGCAATAGGTGATAATAATTAGCCACCAGAATCTTGCGATGAACAACTAGCTCAGCACGACATCAAATATAGAAATCGAGACGTTATCGAGGACATATTGATTTTCGCATGAACGTCATTTGATAATGACATATTCTTAAGGTCTGGACTATTCCCACCGTTATGCATTTTACATTGATATTGTCCTTGTAATATGGGACCTATGGAAACCAATAGGTTATAAACGAATATTAACGAAATAGCCGACCCAAGTTTGTGTGAATGGAAAATACTGAAAGGACTTCGATAAAAATATAGGCGAGTAATATAAAGTTGCTTTCATCTAACTTTCATTCATTTTGGCTGAAATTCCGGTTACTTAGACAGCCTAAAACCTATTTGCAGACGATTTTCGATATTGGTTTATTTTTTGCCATAGTTTTTAGGGTTTCCGGATTCATTACAGATTTGTGTTAAATAATATAATTCTTCCCAGAAAATTTTTAATGTAGAATTATGTATTTTTAATAACCCCCATACAATGGCCCCGCTTTAAGTCCGGTACATTGGAGTTCCTTTCTACATTTTCAAGCCTGATCGTCTGTAATTTGGTATTTGATTTTCCTAGAAAATTAAAAACCAAGATAATTTACAATGACATATTAATCTCCATATAAAGTTCTCAATCTTTTTAAGGAATTTTGAATTCACATATGATGGAGGAGTGTATAAAAAAGTTCGGTCGAACTTAACAATATTTTAACTTCTAAAATTGTGCACTTTAAAAATAGACACAACGGTAAATATACATTGTTTTATAATTTATACAGTTAATCCTTATTTGTTCAAATCAAATTTCAAATCTTCTAATTCAATACCAATGATGAATTGCAATTTTATTCGTTCCGGCAAACAAACGCCATTTCCAATATTTCACAATAACACTCAAATAAATCATTCACACTTTACATCAAAATGTTATTAAAGACATTTAAAAAAAAAATATTACAAAACATCTAATTTTTCACTACTACTCACCCAAACCACCACCTCCGGCATTGTCTTTGCGATTTTTCAAATAAAAGATTATCTGCTCTACATCGGCCAGCTGGGATTTATGTATCAAATCGCATTTATCCACAACTTCGCGTGCTAAGGCCGCGGGATCTGTTTTAGCACTAAGCGAGCGTAGTCTTATGATTTTCTGGCAATTCTGTAAAATACAACAACAATAAAAAATACAACAAAAATTAGAACATTGAAAAGTAAAGTTGAAAGATTAAAAAAGAAAAATCGATTTGGCTATTTTAATATTCATATTTAATATAGAGTAATAAGTAAAGTGAACCGAACTATGTGTGTAGGTATGTACAAATGTTTGAATACTGTTATTTTTTTTCCAAAGGTCAAGTCCACCACCAACGTTAATAACTAAGAACTGAGTAAATAATTACAACAATATTCTACTACGAACCACGCTACACGTATGAAACGCAACAACTACGAACGACGACCAACAACTGCTGAAGTCGTCCAGTCATTACCACAACAGAACTGACCATCCAGCTGTGGATGTGTGTGTGGGTGTGTGAACTAATGGGAATTTCAATGTTAAGAAAATTATTTGTAACATGCGTTTTAACTATTTTGCGGCAGGCAACGGAACGGACAGACAGACATACCGACAGATAGATGGATGATTGAATGTTAGTGTTCCTTTTCGACCCCTACACCCACCACATAGTGGTATATTGGGTTTGTCATGGTATTTGTAACTCTTTGAAATAATTATTTTAAATTCTATAAAGATTATGAATTCTAGAACGGATTTTTATTCAGATCAGGTCAATATCGTGAAAAAGGGACTACAATTAAAATCAATTTTCTTTTTTAAGTAAATTTTTCTCTTTCGATTCGAGCACAATGATCGAAGTTTTGCAATGAAAAGGAAAACCAGCGGAATAACCTAGGCACCCACCATTATGCGAGCTTCAGTTCTTTGATAATTTTCTATATTGGTCGAGGGAGTTGTCAGTTTCCAGTTTGGGGATAGGGTGAAGGCGGATGATCATTCTAATCTATTTGGGGACTTTCGGGATCTTTATTGGTCGGGACCTTTATATGTTGTAAATCGTCTGTACAAATGTATATAAACAATTGATACATAACTTAAATAACTCGGTATTTATAGGGTCAGATCAACCCAATTGTGACGCCCCATCATCAGTATGGCATCTGTAGTCAAGATTATCGCTACAAGCCCGCAACCAACAAAAATGGATCCAAACATGGCTCTCTGGCCGGGAAAGAGCAATCGAATTTAAACACGGGAGTAGGACCAATATAAACGTCTTAAAATTTCGGAGCATCGAAGATGGTGGAAGAAGTGAGCAATGACATTGATAAGCTCACGAAAAGAAAGAATTAGCTATCCGGAGAAATAAGTGCGAATATATGACCACCTCCACTTCATCGGAAGCGGAAGAATGAAGGATGAACACATCCACTTCATTGGAAGCTGGGCGGAATGGCAGACAAAAAGCTCCAATATCCGGAGTATACGCAAGAGGAAGAGGGTAAGAAGCCGAGTCCTGTTATGCAATGATCGACGATAATAGAGCGTCTGTCACGCTGCAAATAACTGTCTTAGAATGTCGGAGGAGCGAAGAGGTTGAAAAGATGGTGGAAGAAGTGAGCAAAGAAATTGTTAAGTTCACGACAAGAAAGAATCAGCTATCTGGGGCATAAAGTCGGAAACTGTTCAGGATGAACCCGAGAAATAAGTGCGAATAGCAAATTGAAGGATCATTTATCAGAGGGATGAACACCTCTACTCCATCGGAAGCGGGAAAACTGAAGGATGAACACCTCCATTTCATCGGAAGAGCATACAAAAAACTCCAATTTCCAGAAGACGAGCGCTGCACCAGATTTTAGGCAAAAGGAAGAGGGTGAAAACAATTGGTAAGAAGCCGAGTTCTGTTATGTCATGATCGACAAAAGGAGACCCATATGGAGTTAATGGATGCGGTCAATAATAATATTATAGATCATCTGTTGCGTGGAGGGAACCCTCCGATCTGAAATAATTAATATCGATCTATATTTCTTGAGAAAATTCGGTTAAAACCTTCGAAATACGGAAACGGAGGTGGGGCTATATCGAAGCATGGACCTACATCGAAAATCTACTGCAAATATGTTTTTCACCCATCAGAACCCCTATTGCAAATTACAGTTACTTTAATGGGAATATTCACAAAATTTCTCAAGAATCCGGAAAAGAAAATGCGAAATGTAGATTTATATCCAAATAGTTCTGAAAAAATGTTTCTTAGAATTTCGGAATTACCAATTACAGATATTTCATCTGGAAAATGCGGCTAGAACCTTAAAATACAGAAACTAGACCGGGTAGCTTCATAGGAGTAATGCAACTAAATTTAGACATATATTGAAATAGTTCCGGAAAAATATGTCTCAAGAACCCGGAATGACCAATTACAGATATTTCATTTGAAAAATGCATCTAAACTCCTAAAATACCGAAACAAGACCGGGTAATATAAAGAAATTTAGACATATATCGAAATAGTTCCGGAAAAATATTTTTCAAGAACCCGGATTGACCAATTACAGACATTTCATTTGGATCGAGGCCATTTACAGTGGGGCTATGTCAAAACTTGGGCCTATATGGAAAATTATCAGCAAACATTTTGTTCACCCTCTACAATACATGAATTCAAAATTACAGGCTACTTTGTGTTCCCCGATAGCCACACGAAATTTTTATTCGGGAGTTATGTCAAAAAGGGGTTAAGCCATATAACAAACCGAAGGGTTCTGTGTTCAAATCTCATCCAAGGAAGAACATTTGCCTACATTTGTAAAAAAGAGGCTTACAAGTTCCTCCAGATAAAATGCATTCAAAGTCCCCTTACATTCTAAAAACCAACCTCGACAACCACGTCAGGAAATACGGATAATATAAAATATGAATGACAGGATATAGCGCCGCCTAGAGGAACATGGTTACTCTAAATAATGACCCAAACTAAAAATTCTTTGGTTGGGCGAGAAAATGTTGTAAAAAAACGAGGCCTACAACCCCCTCCAGATGAAATGCATACGAAGAACCTGACATTCCAAAAACCAACCGCGGCAACCACATCTAGGCAACGGTAGATGGCAGCCCCATCACTTCGGAAGGGCTACATCAGACTAATCCTTTACCTAGCTGGAATGAAACCAATGTACAAAATTCAATGTTTCCAAGCAACGATAGATGGCAGTCTCATCACATCGGCGAGGCTACATCTAAACTAATACAAGGACTAATCATTATGACGATTGTGGAAGTCCTACATTGATCATTTTCTGTAAACCCGTTTTTATCCTCCACGGAACCGGAATGCAAATTAGAGTTACTTCGGTCGGAAAATGCGCCCAAGCACCTTCACATTACCGAAAAAGGAACGGAACCTTTATATGGCTAGCTATATAAAACGTTGATCTATATTGAACTGCAAAGTTGTATGTTTGTTGTTTTAAATATTAGGATCTGATGGGTATTTTATGGGATCTCTGACAAATATTTTGAAATGTTGCAACGCATTGACAAATTTAATATTCCCCGCACCTAATATAGATTAACAGCAAATATCCTGAAACGATCATAGTCCAACATTGATCATTTTCGGTAAACATGTTTTTTATCCTCCAAGGACCAGGAATGCAAATGACAGCCACTTTATATGGAGGCTATGCCGAACCTTGATCTATATTGTCCTGCAAAGATGTATGTTTGTTGTTTTAAATATGAAGATCTGAGGGTATTTTATGGGGTCTCCGACGAACATTTTGAGATGTTGCAAATGCAATGACAAATTTAATATACCCTGCGCCTAATACAAGTTAACATCAAATATCCTGAAAATCATAATTTTTATTTTAAAGGAACCTTTATATGGATGCTATAAAGTGTATAAAAGTTTCGTCCTGGCCGGACTTTTTGACGTTTTTATTTGTTTTTCATTTATTCATATGTAGTGGGAGTTGAAATGTGTGCGCCTGTGTGTGTATTTGTGTTCACTTCCATACATTATAACTACACAGAATAATATACATATTGTATGTAAACAATAAATGGAGGGACATACCCGTCATTATAACTACTCGTACACATATGTATATGAGTCATTCCACAAGGGTTCTGCTCAACAGAATTATACATATTTCTAATTATAGGATAGATGTGTAAGTTAAATTGTGTCCAGCTCAAGGCTACTAAGGTATGTTGACCTCTAAATATTATCAATAACATCAAATATCATCTGAAAAAATTTTTTCGGCCCAATAAAAAAGTCCTTTGGCCATTGCCCATATGACCTGCAAACCATCAATTATGATGACAACTGCAGGCGTTCTATAAACAACAAATAACAAAATTGCCTACAATTTGTTTTCTTTTACTTCTTCTTCTTTCTCTTCACCTTAATAGGATAATAATTTATTTATCATTGTTCCCCATATCAATTTGTATATCCATCGATGAATTCCCCCTCCCCTCCCTAACAATTTTTTGTGCGGTGCTCGAATATTGATTTTCATGTGACACTTAGTTTTGCAGTTTTTTATTCTTTTTGTTGTCTAAGCAAGTTTAGTATTGGGCCAAAGAACCTAACGGTCAGTCGGTTGGATTTCAAACGACCATAGAAAAAATTAAAAAAAATATATACATTTAAGTGCATATGGGTACCTTGACCCAGTCAAGAACATGCATTCTAAAAAAATATAGATTTTTTTTCAAATATTTAAAATACCGTTCAAAACCCTTTTGTGCATTTAGTACCAATGAAATTTGTTCCGAACAAATTGCCATGACAAACATGTTGTAGTTTGGTATTAAATGAACCGTAAAATGTGTGTCAAACCGAAAATAAATAAAAACAAACAACGAACAACAAAATATGAATAATGAGTTAATAATGTGAACGTTAACAAATTCGTAAAGGTTAAGACATTTGGTAGGGTTGTTGTTGTTGGAAAGCAAACAAGTGACCTTGAAAATGGCTATTGTATTAAAAAAAGTGTTCTTATTATATATACATATGTGTTCAATATGCCTGTAATATGAAACTTCTCAGTTCAAAATATTTGAAAAGAATGTAATAACTATGTCCTCTGTGCGCATGAGTAATATTAATTTTTCAAAAT